CTTCACTTTCACACCATCCATCTTCACACCATCCATCTTCACTTTCTCTCTCTAAGCCCCAAACCCCCCCAAAGCCTATGGTGACTCCCTAGAACAAGGCAGAAGCCCCGAAGCGCCTGACGGCTCCGAGAAAAGAGCCTTTCGGCTCGGGAACGCTGCTCCAGCGAAGCCCGGTTTTCGAGAAAACCCGTTGTAAGGGAGCTACGTCTAACCTATCTTTACTATAACCTATGTTTCAATATAGCAACATTATTAGGACCTTAAAATAATTATTTGGGATATTATTATGAGTTATATAAGAGTGTTGCTTAACGCTTATATAATAGTAATAATGGCTAGACTATGAATTAGTCTCGGTAAATATTAGACTAAACCCTAGTGGTAATGATACTAGGTTTTGTCGAAGGAAGTTGCTTTAAAAGTAACGAAGTGTTGTCCAAGTGCAGAGTCACCACCTAATCAGGTGAGTGCATAGTTACTTTCATCTTACACATAGATATGAAATATTTTATTTAAATTACGTGCTATGTGTGCATATTATCTGTATACTTACTATCTATGTTGGATGAATGATTTTATACAAGTTTTATATGATTTAAACTGTATATGTATTTATATCTACATAATATGTTGGGTAAAACATGGGTAGATGAAATATGAATTGGATGATGAGTTGAGAGGTGATATAGACCATGAGGTAAGGGTGAGAGGTGGACGATGTGAGAAGCCTTGTTCCCAAATGTTGGCCCCGTCATCTAGCAGAGTATGGATGACAACCACGAACTATTCTAGACAGTCCATTGGAACACTAGCAGGCTCGCAACCTGTAGGTGTTGTGAACGATGTGTTCACCTGGTGTACTCTAAACCCTGGCGACCATGCAGACTTGGTGCCTAAACCTTGGCGATCATGCAGACTTGGTGCCTGTTATATAAACCCTGGCGACCATGCAGACTTGGTGCCTAAACCTTGGCGATCATGCAGACTTGGTGCCTGTTGTATAAACTCTAGCGACTATGCAGACTTAGTGCCTAAACCTTGGAGATCATGCAGACTTGGTGCCTGTTGTATAAACCCTGGCGACTCTGCAGACTTAGTGCCTAAACTCTGGCGACTATGCGGACTTAGTGCCTGTTGTATAAATTCTGGCGACTATGCAGACTTAGTGCCTAATCCCCGGTGACGATGGACTTCGTGCCGATTCCTTAGGATGATCCTTAGGAATGAATGAACGAGGAATAGTTGATTCTTAGGGTAGATCCCTAAGAGTAAAGAAGATAATGGGGATGGGTAATTGGGTTGATTGTTTTATGTTAAAACATAATAATTATATTATTGTGGGTTGAAAACCCTATGTACTCACCAGGTTTCCCCACCTGACCCACTCCAGCTTATTTCTATCACAGGTATCGATATGAAGTTACATTACACCGAGAGATTTAAAAGAGATGTAGATCACTAGTGTAAATGAATGTAAGTTCTGTTTATGCTTATGTTTCTGTATTGACGATGACATCCCAAATGTTTTTAAAATGAATAAAAATACATTTCTTCGGAAATGCTTTGATAACGTATTTATCATGTTTTACTGGGAACAAATTCCGCAACATTTTTATTAAAGGAAGTACTCTGATTTTTATAAAGCATAAACAAAATCGGTCTTTTCTGGCCGTGAAAATGGGGATGTTACAAGGATCACACATGGGGATTGTGCTTAGCGATGTGAAAAATTTTCGGATCTGTTTTGAGATTATGCGTGCTGTTCTCAGACCTTCTGGATGCAAATTCAATCAGTGACTTACGGTTTGATTTTTCTTCTCTATACTCCTGAGTTTATATTAAACTGATTCATTTTTAAGACAATTATTTAGACAATTTTTTATTTTCTTATATATTTATTGGGAAGTGATATAAATATGTGATAACAGGCAATTTGAATCTGTGTAAGGTACCAAAGTTGAATTGTCTAGGCTCTGTGTTCAATGTGCTGGTAGGCACGAAGGATTTGACAGTGTTGATTTAGATAGGATCGTTTGGACTGACCATACGATGCTCGGGTAGATTGAGCAGTGAGATAAACACGGGAACCCACGGGATACACTAAATTAATACGCATCTAGAACTGTGGCTTAACTTTTCCTTGATGTACGGACTTATGTCCTTAATTCTGGTTCTGATAGGGCGACTGGGGAGTTCTGATAAAGTAGGTTTGTAGGAAATTACTTTCTTGCTTTCTATCTGTCAGTCATATGTTGCTTCCTCTGCGTGATTGGAAGAGATCTGATCTGGATTGCAACATATGCAACTCTAATTCTACCCACCTCCTTCTCTATGCAATTCTTTCTATCTGTTATCCATATGTTGTCCCCTATGCGTGATCGGAAGATCTGACCTGGGATACAGCATATGCAACATTCTACCTCTCAATCCCTCTATCTCTGTTAGTCATATGTTGTCCCCTCTGCGTGATTGAAAGAGATCCGACCTGGGACACAACATATGCACCTATTTCTAAATATGACTTCCTCCTTAATAACTGTTTGCTCACCTAAAGTAAGGAGTCCTTAGGAAGTTCTTGATAACCAGGGTATATCGGGAAGTGGGAAACACGTTCTAGTGCAACTAAAATTGAACCATTTAGAGGTTGTCTGTAGATCTCGCTGCTTAATTTAAGTGGATAACAATACCCGTGATCGTCGTCAGCTAAATGGTATATTTAAAAATTTTGTCGATATCCTTCGTTTTTAAGTGGACCACAATACAATTGACCAGATCTATTCATGAAGGTGAAGGTAATGATAAACAAAGTTAAGACTGTCTCACAACTTTGATCCCAAATATTTTTGTTTTTGTTAAATTTGTTCATAGTTTTCCTCTATGCACAAATTTAGGGGGGAGAATTAAAAAAATTCAAAAATCAAACAAAAATCAGAAAAATTAAATGCAACAATGATTGAAAAGCAACTAAAATTTAAAGATAATCAAATTAAAAAATATTCAAAAATCAAACAAAAATCTAAAAATTAAATATCCAAAAATAGTGTTATTTCTGTTTTATTTCTTGCTCAGAAAAAAAAATCAAAAATCCAAAAATATTTTTGATTCCGTTTTAATTTTCAGAAAATATGAAAAATCCAAAAATATTGTGTGCTAAGTTTTCTTTTAGTTTTGTTTTGTCTTGAAAAGTGAATTCAGATGTAGATGAGACTCATGGAGACTGTATCGAGATTTTCTGAGCCAAGGCTTCATCCGTGATCATCGAAGAATTCTCATTCAAAGGAGCAAGAAATGAAGACTATTCTTTCAACGTTCAATTTTTCTACCCCAGAAGCAAGGTGAAGCTGACTTGAAGATTATGTGACAGATTCCATTGAAGCCTCCTCAATCAATTTGTTGCTATTCTTGTACCTGCTGAAGTGATCCAGAAGATTAGATCTCTTTATTGTTCTCTCTGAAGATTCTCAAGCTGAAAGCGCCATCTTTCAAGAATCTTTTCAAGAAGCCTCCTCACTTAACGTGCGTTCAAAGCCAAATTCTGAAGAAAAGCCCAAGTGCTCAAGATGAAGTCATTTATTGAAGATTCATCATGTTCATCTTAAAGCTGTGAACAAATCGAAGATAAATGTTGAAGCCAAGATCCAAATGAAGATTGACAAGAAAAGTCAGCTAATTTTTTAGGGGGGAGTTTGTTGGGTCAGTTAGAAAAGAAAGCTATAAACCAAGGGGGATATTGTTGGGTCAAAAATATGGTTTATACTTTACTTTTCTAGTCAACTGTATTTTTCAGTTTAGGACCGTAAACTATATGGTGTTTGCGGTTGAGTGTTCACTGTTGTAAAGTGTTCACGGCCGTGAACCTGTTCACGGCCCATGTTTCATATATATTAGTGTTAGTGGTGAGGTCATAAAAAGAGGACAGTTCACGGCTAAGAGAGAGAAGAGAGAGAGAGAAAAGAGCTTAAGTGTGTGTAAGTGTGTGAATCTTGTGTAAGGGAACTTCATTCTCATCATCAATTCAAACAAGATTCATATTATTATTCTACTCCTTCTTCTTCATTTTGATCTGGCATCATCCGCTTGATTGGGATTCCGCACCATCAAGCGGATCTGATTGTTACACAAGCATATTTGGGACTTACACTGGGAATGTTGGGTGTCGTTGTTTCAAGGAAGTTGGCTGTTGAATTGATTCTTCAATCACTTCCTAAGTCATATAGCGGGTTCTTTAAGAACTACTATATGGGATATCACGACATGACCCTTATTGATCTAACATATTTCCTTGTTGCTGTTGAATCAGCAATGATTTGGCGCACTGGTAAAGCAAATTTGGTTGGAAGATCTATTTCCCAAACTTCCATGGACATTGACAATGGCAACATTGGAAGTCCAGAAAAGATTTCTCTTCCCAATGGAAAGGGATCGGCCATGTTCAAGTCATTTGACCAAATGGTAAAGAGAAAGGCTAAGTCTGAGATTGTCCTGTGTACCATTCCAATAGAATTTGTTTGCTTCTATCTCCAAGAGAAGGAGCATTGGTTGCGAAGCTGCCGTATTTATCCGGAGGACCACAAGGATGGTAAAATCAAAATGTATGACTCCACTTCAGGTAAGTCCACTATCTAACTCTATTAAGTTCCTATTTGGAGATTCTTAATACATGATATAATGTAATTACATTTTGATGTTTTGTAGGATCGAAGAAAAGAAAGGAAGCTTATTTATTGGGGAAAGAGGACAAATCCTCGGAAAATTTATTGATTTGTTTGAATTAATAATGGAGGTATTTTGGTATTTCAATAAAGAAAGGAAGGATAGAATTCAGTCACTTCCATCCATTTGCCGTCAAAACACTCCCAATTCCGACAGGAATCCACAAACCAAAATTTAGCTAAAAAGGTTAAGTTAAGGGGTTATACCTTGGAAATCACTTTCCCTAGATGCTCAGAGCTCATTTTACAAGCAATATGCTTGTATTCGGGAGTAGTATTGAAGTATTCTCATTCCTTCATCCGGGAAACAATCATGTCAACGCTTTTGTTAATATCAGCTTGAGACCGATTCACAACACCAATCCGTGGAAACTTTAGCCTATAAGATTTCCCTTCCAACATCTATTGTAGTACAACTCACAATTACATTACATTACCTTCATTATAAATAAACAAAAACAAGAATGCTAATTTCAAGACCCAAATCACATCAACTGCATCAGTACCCTTCTCCATTAGGTCAATCTTAGTCAGAACTCCAAAAGTCCTCTCCCCTATACATTCACATTAATCAAATTAAAATAATAACCAACACAACAAACATCAATAAAAAAGGCATACATCAAAAAACAACACAATATGTTTACAAAACTTATGGATGTACTTTACGATCAATTTTGATAGCATCAGATGTAACAAGATCTTGGTTGGCGGGAGAAACTACCAGAATAATGAAATTAGGCTGCAAGGCAAGCAGTTACAAAAATAAGTATGTTTTCAGTAGTTGACCATTATCATTGAGGGATAAATAAGTAAATAGTTGTGTGATCAATAGGAGTTCTAAATATCTGTTGAAGTATAAGCATATAAATAAACACCAAAATAATAAAATAAGTATCTGTTTAAAAGGAAGAGAATGATTAAAATGCATGCTCGTGTGATCATTTCTTTCAAAAGTTTCCAATGAGGGTCTTTATCAAAATTTGATGAACATGTGAGAAGAGGCCTAGAGCCTTTTGAGATGGTTTCCAATGAGTTTAACTCTTCCATTGTATAAACTAGAATAAAACATTGAGAAAATTAACATATATGTTTTTTTATTATCATATATAAAGATTCAACATAATCAAATCAGAAGCAATTTTAATCAATTACTTGTATTCACTAAAAACTTTACAGATGAACCATTAGGGCATTTGGACATCCACAAGTAAAGATCTTTGTGTTTTCTGCATTGAAAATGAGAATGAAAATGTAACTAAGATAAACCATTGAAATATACTATGAGATGTTGATTACCTATAATGGATCTTTCTCTGATACATGACAGAGGTGTTGATGTTAATTGGTATGAGAAAATTACTGATACATAAAAATGAAAATGTTGAAAAACTATTCAATGGCCATGTTTTCATAATGGATTCGTTTTTGTGATAAGATGAGCAGCTCTTAAGTTCATAGATAATCTATGATTCAGAAACAGGTCAGGGAGAACAAATGTATCAATAGCGGCGGTCAAATCGATTCACAGTAAAAGCATCTTCAGTGGAGAATGTATCCATTCGAGGAGATGAAGGAGACTCAGGCATGGATTAGATCAGTTGATCCATGGAACGAAATCGATCAATTGAAACGTGATATATGCAGAAAGCAAGGTAGAGAATTCAAAACTTTGAAACCTGATATATGCCTTAGCTATCCTTTTTGGATCTTAGGAACCGAACAAAAACTAGAAAATTCAATGATCAGAAGAAAATTAACTTTAATGATAAATTGTTGATGGTCGACGGAGAGAGAGGGAGGCTGATGTGGAAGATCTTTGACTGAAAGAGTAGTAGACCGATGTAGGGAAGAAGGAGAAGAGATCGTCAATTTATAGGAGACGATGGCGATGGTGTAGGTCTTACAGGATGTGATGGCGGTGATGTGGTTTCTAGGGTAGATTGACGAACTTCATGGCAGTCATGTAAACATTTACATAGAAATCATCCACCAGAAGGTATCATCATCGAAACTCAGAACGAAGCGTCTGGTTTGATGTTCTCTAAACGGGGTCAATATCTATATCCCTAAAATACCTCCAATTCCATTTTGTTTCAGTACCCCCGTTCGTTTACTTTTCTAATTATTTATAAAAATGTCACAAAACATCTTGACCATCCTTTTTTTGATCTAACGAATGACTTTTAGTTATCGGGTTCTCGGAAAAATATAGGTTTTCAAATGATCATTCCTCTATATATATATATATATATATATATATATATATATATATATATATATATATGTTCAATGGAAAATATTTATTTTTTACTGTGAAAACATTTGAGAACAAAATTTGGTCAACACAATTTTATTTATATATTTATAATTTATTTATTTGATAAGTAAAAATAACATTCCCCACCCCACGCATCCCATCCCACCACCCCACCAACTCTACCGAAAGTCTTGTTTCTCTCATCATCTTTTAACACCGGAGCACTATTGACACCACCGGACCTCCGCCAGGTTACCCGACCTCCACGAGAATCTCATAATCATTGGACTGTCTATACTCGTCCCTACATCGGAAACCATAGGTCTCGCTAGCTCCGTCTCTTCTTGCTTCTTTGATTTGCTTGTCACCACCTCTCCGCTTCACTCGTTCCTCATCCGACATGAGTTTCCAACAGAACACGAGCATCCCTAGATCGAGCCCTTACAAGTCACAAGTCACAACCTCCTTATTCAGATCAGATGGCTAGCCTATGGCGAGTCTTGATGGGCGATTCACATCCCAACGCTGATGACGAATCCATGAGACTACCACCTCTTCATTCTCTCCAGATCTGCTTGTGTACCTCCTACCGTCAAAAACCAGCTGTATTTGCCTCTCATATTCCAAAATCATCATCGGATCTTGTTATACCAGTCACAACCACCAGATTTCATTTAGCGGTCATCAGATCTAGTTTCACCAAATCGATCTGAAGCAGAAAAAACAACCAGTTCCTCTCTCTCGTTATAACATTTTACAGACACAAAATTGAAAATGTAGATCTACTCTTTCTTTTTTCCTTCACCTCTGTGACGGTGCCTTGATGAAGGTCCGAAGACGTCGAAGGCTGTCCGACGACATCCACGGCAATCCGACGACGTCAACGGCGGTCCGACGACATCGACTCCGGACAAACGATTATTTAGGAGTAGAGAAAGCTTGAAGTAATTCATTACATGTTGATGGATTTTAGAGCTCTAGGGTTACGTTTTGTAGGAAACGGTGCAATTAAAAGAGCAATTGTGGAAGGTTGTGGTGGTGTGTCCGGTGGGTGGAGAAGCCAAGAATGAAATCCAGCTTTTCCTTGAAAATGCAGAAAAAACTAATACATCCATTGACTGCTACAGTTAATGCGTCCATTGACTGCTACAATTACTATTGCAGGAGGTAGCTCAAGATTTCAAGGTAATTTTAATTAATGTTTTTATAAAAATATCTAAACCTTTGTATGAATTAATTTTTTTTTATAAAAATATCTAAACCTTGGTATGTCTAGTTATGATGCACGTGTAAGTTTTTTTTTATTATTATTTGATTTTTTCTCTACTGTGAATGAAGTTGCATAAGATTTATATGTATCATATTTATAAATAGCCTCTTAATAATTATACATGCCATGTATTTATATATATTTTTTCTCCAATGGAGAATAAGGTTGTAATAATTTTTTAAGTATGTAATTGTTAGCTCATGTTAGGCTTATTTTCACGAAAATGTCGAGCTTTGATTTAACTATTTTAGTTTCAATTTTAGTTTATTTTATTATTTACGGTTAATATGTTTATTTTACTAAATTTATTCGGTTTTGAAATACATAATAATTTTGTTTTATTTCCTTAGAAATTTCACTTTAGCAGTTATAGTTTAAATAAGTCATTAGGTTATCCTAATATTTCATAAATAGTCATGGGAGTCAAATTCGACATTGAATCAAAAGTACAATTCTCTTAAAAATGAAAATGGAATATGATCACCGTTCCAATAGATTTTTTTGTATTTTGCTTGAAAAGAATGGGATAAAATAGAATCACACATCCAAAAAACATCCAAAAAACGTATGTCATCATGTTACTTAGACCTTTTTTGATGTATGATATGTATAAAAATTTATGGTATTGAATACATACAATCAACTATGATTAAATACTTGAGAAAAATTATTGAATCGAGACGTGAAAATGAATATTGTCCATATAAATCATATGTGATTAGATACATGTAATCATATGTGATTATATGTATCTAATCATATATGATTTATATCTTACTAAATATACAAAATCACATGCGATTAAATAAACGACAAAAAAATATGTGATTAAATATATAAAATCACATGTGGTTAAATACACAAAAAAAATTGAATCGATAATTCATATGTAGTTAGATACATATAATCACATGTGATTAAATCCTATGTGATTAGATATGTAAAATCATATGCGATTAAATACATATAATCATATATGATTTAATCATATATGATTCAATCATATGTGATTAAATCACATGTGATTTAATGACATATAATATATGTATCTAATTACATATGATTTACCGTGTATTTAATCACATATGATTTATATATTTAATCACAGAGGATTATACATGATTTATATGGATAAAATTAATTTCCATGTTTTTGATTCAATAGTTGTACTTTGTCCACCTTAATCATATGTGATTAAATATATATAATCACGTGTGATTAAATAAATGAGAAAAACTATTGAATCGACGTGAAAATGAGTATTATCTACATAAATCATATATGATTAAATACATGAGTACAATTATTGAATGAAGAACGTGAAAACAAATATTGTCGACATAAATCATATGTGATTAAATATTAATCACATGTGATGTGATTAAGTACATGAGACCAACTATTGAACCAGAAACGCAAATATGAATATTGTCCAAATAAATTATATGTGATTAAATACATATAATGTGTCTAATCATATATGATTTATGTAAACAAGTCATTTACGCGTTCTCGATTAAATAGTAGTTCTCGTATATTTAATCACATATGATTATATGTATTTAATTACACATGATTTATATTGACAAGATTCATTTTCGCGTTTTCGATTCAATAGTTCTCGTGTATTTAATCACTTATGATTTCTACGCACAAGATTCATTTTTGTGTTTAAGATTCAATAGTTGTTCTTTTCCCCATTAATCATATGTGATTAAAGATATATAATCACATTTGATTAAATACATTTGATTAAATACATGAGAAGAATAATTGAATCGAAAATGCAAAAATGAATTTTATCCACATAAATCACATGTAATTAGATACATATAATCACATGTGATTATATATATCCAATCACATATGATTTATGTGGACAAGATTGATAATTTCCACATCAATCATATGTGATTTTCATCACGTGTGATTAAATACAAGAAACTAACTATTGAATAAAAAAATATGAAAATGAATATTATCCACATATGATTATATGTATTTAATCACATATGATAAATATAATCACATGTGATTATATGTATTTAATAACATGTGATTTATATGATTAAATAAATATAGTCACACATGATTTATGTGATTATATGCATTTAATCACATATTGTGTTGGTGGTTATAGGTAGTTAGATATGGATGTATAGTTTCCAACATATAAATGGACTGATGTAATTCTTAATAGATTAATACAGTTTATTCTAAGAGTGTTGAGTGGTCCAGAAAGTGACAACTAAAAGTTTCCAACTTGTAAATTTAATATAAAATAAGCCAAAAATCATTCGAATGAAATCTTTATATTTCTGAAAAGATAAAAAGGGGAACTTTACCAATATAATTTTATCAAAATTTAATAATGGGTTGAAAGGTAAGAAAACGTATCCCAAATAGAGGACTATAATCAAAGAGAAAATAAGGAAATATGTACATAAGTTTTTTAAGATTAATACAACAAACACAAGCTAAATAATGTCATAATTTTTGTGTAGGTTCTCGGAAAGGAAATGATCCATCTTGCTCATGCTAGCTAATTTTCAAGATCAAGGAGGTGAGTACTAACTCTCCTATTATGTAGGCATTACTTGTTTTATTTTATTGTTCACACATACCCTAATAAAATGTGATTATGTGTATCTAATCACATATGATTTATGTAGCTAAGATTATTTTTTGCGTTCTCGATTCAATAATTGTTTTTTATTTTCCACTTTAATCATATGTGATTAAATACATTTAATCAGATGTGATTATATGTTTCTAATCACATATGATTTTATTTGGAAAAAACAAATATTGTCTATTTAAATCATATGTGATTAGATACATACAATCACATGTAATTATATACACGATAACAAATATTGAACCAAGAACGCGAAAACAAATCTTTATCCAAATTAATCATATGTGATTAAATACATATAATCACATGTGATTATATGAATCTAATCACATATGATTTATGTGGAAATAATTCATTTTTGCTTTGTCGATTCAATAGCTGTTCTCATGTATTTTATCACATGTGATTATATGTATAATCATATGTGAGTAAGTACATGAGCACAACTACTGAATCGAGAAGAAAAAAATGAATATTGTCCACCTCAAATCATATGTGATTATATACATATAATCACATGTGATTAATTACACAAAAGCAATTATTCAGTCGAAAACGCAAAAATAAATATTGTCTACATAAATCATATTTGATTAAATACATATAATCACATGTGATTATATGTATCCAATCATATATGATTTATGTGGATGATATTCATTGTCACATTCTCGATTCAATAATTCTTCTTTGTCCACTGTAATCATATTTGATTAAATATATATAATCATATGTGATTATATGTATCTAGTCACATATGATTTATTCCGACAAAAAATAATGATGTCTATACTGTAATTATATGTATCTAGTCACATATGATTTATTCCGACAAAAAATAATGATGTCTATATAAATCATATGTGATTAGATACATATAATCACATATGATTATATACACAAGAACAACTATTGAATCGAGAACACAAAGATAAATATTGTCCACATATATCATATGTGATTAAATGCATATAATCACATGTGATTATATGTATCTAATCACATAGAATTTATGTGGAAAATATTTATTTTCGCGTTCTCGATTCAGTTATTGTTCTTGTGTGCTTAATTACATGAGATTATATGTATCTAACTAGATATGATTTATATGGACAATATTCATTTTCACATTCTTGTTCAATAGTTGTTCTTGTACATTTAGTCACATATGATTTCTGTACACAAGATTCATTTTCGCGTTTTTGATTAAATAGTTTTTCTTTTTCCACATTAATCATATGTGATTAATACATACAATCATAAATGATTAAATACATAAGAAAAAATATCGAATCATGAATATTATCAACATAAATCATATGCGATTTGATACATATAATCACATGTGATGGGTGGTGGTGGTGGCGGGTGGTGGGTGGTGTTGGTTGGGTGGTGAGTGAGTGGTGTTAGTGAGTTTTTTAATTGCTTGTATCTATTTTTTGATTTATATGAATATTATTTTATAATTTTAATTAAAAAATTGTGTGGTCTAAATTTGTTTCTCAATGTTCTCGCGATAAGAAGTGTTCTCGATTGAACGCTCCCTATATATATATTATTATATATATATATTATCTATATATATATAGATATTATATATATATATATATATAAATTAAAGATTAAAATTAAGTACGGAAACATTATCACGTTTGATTTTAATTTCAATGTAATAGACGGTGATTAATGTGATACGAACCAATAACCACCATTAATTTACAAACATATTGTAATATCTATATATATATATATATATATATAATATATATATATATCTATATATATATATTCTATATATATAAAGTTCAATTGAGCAAAAAAAAAGGTTGAGAATGGGAGAATTATTCTCAGTCACACATTTACTTTGCCGCAAAACACTTAGGCGTACCGTCGGAAATGGATAACGGATAAATATATATTTTCCAACCAAACATTTTTCATTAAATTATGCTAATCATTACTTTAATATACACAAAAACATACTTTTTTTGTTTTTTGTATTTTTAGAAAGTCATTTTTATCGAAAATTTATTTTAAATATATCAAAATTCATAATTTTTTATTCTCTATAAATAGACATCTATATTGATATAGTTTTAAGATAAAATAATTTTATTTTTTTTTAAAGTTTCAGCTTTCGTTATTCATAAATGAATAAAAATCTATCAGATTTTTATTACAGTACATTCGTTATTCACTTATGAATAAAACGTATGCTTAACTCTGTTTTTTATATTTTAAGTATCGTTCATATATCAATATGACAAGTAATAAAGTTTTCTTACTTAAAATATATTTTTTACATCATCTTTCGTCATATATTATGTTTATATATGAATAAAACGTGTATTAGTTGTCGTCATAATTTATATTCATATATGAATAACATTTATCCGATTTTGTTACAGTTAATTTGTTATTTAGATAGCATAAGTAGTATAATGATACTAAACTGTAAAAAAAAATTAATTATATATTTTTATTAATCAGTGAATAACGAATGTACTGTAGCAAAAATCTGATGCATTTTTATTCCCTTATCACTAACGATAGTTGAAATATAAAAAAAAAATTTATTTTATCTTAAAGTATCTCAATATGGATGTCTATTGTAGAGAATCAAAAATCATGCTTTTGGTATATTTAAATCATTTTTCGATAAAAATAGCTTCTCAAAAATTAAAAAAAAAAACGAAAAAAAACATGTTTTTGTATATATTAAGGTAATGCTTAGATAGTTTAAGGAAACATGTTTTGTTGGAAACCATGTGTATTCCTTATCCATTTTCGCTGGTACAACGGAGGCTTTTGCGGCAAAAATAAATGAGTGGCTGAGAATGATTCCCCATTTTCAACCTTTTTATTTTCTTAATTGAACTTACCTCTCTCTCTCTCTCTCTCTATATATATATATATATATCTATATTATATATATATATCATATATATATATCTCTTAGAAAACTGTTATATAAAATTTCTTTTTCTTTTAAATAATCTCTAATTGTTAGAAATAGTTTAAATTTCCCTTTTCTTCAAATTGGTGTTATGATATAGAAAGTATTTATTTTGAACCAAATTGTAACCATGTTTTATATATATATATATATATATATATATAGATATCTATATATATATATATATATATAGAGAGAGAGAGAGAGAGAGAGAGAGGAGCGAGAGAGAGAGTGTGTGTGAGAGATGTTCATGTGTTCCTTATATCTATTGTGTGTTAGAATGCACAAATAAAAATTTAATAATAATTAAATTCTTTAATAAAATAAAAATAGATATAAAATGATTTCCATAATTATATGTATATTAAATGATATCGATAATTATAATTCTAGTTTTATGGAAACTAATTAAATTTGTTATTAGTGTCAGCAATGATATTCTGTATGAATGAATTCACATCTAGTTTTTCATGTATGGGTTCGAGTTTTATTTCAGGACCAACTCACTTAAAATACAAAAAAGTTGTCTGAAACATGGTGAATGAGAGTGTATTCTACTAGAATACACTTTTATTATACTAGAATACATTCTTAGACGGTGTTTAGGAGTGCTTTTAGATAAAATTGCTTATTGTCTTATAGTGGTGTTAAAGGAAGTTTTTTAAAAAGGGTTAGGATTAGCTTTTATGGTGAAAAAGTCAATAAACCAATAAGTTCAAAAGTATTTGACTTAAAAAATGCTTTTTGAAGTTATTTTGGTTAAAAAGTCATAAGCAGTTTTAAAAAACCAAGTTTTACATGCTTATTAAAAAATGTTTTTTGAAGCTTATGGAAAAACTATTCTAAAAAGTGTTTTTGAGTTTGTCAAACACTTTTTTTTTTTACTTATTAGCTTTTCAAAAAGCCAATAAGCCAGTAAGCTGTTTTGAAAAGCAATCTCAAACGCCTCCTTATTCTGCTAGAATAAACTCTCATTCTACTATAATACACTCCCGTTCTCCATGTTCTACGCAACCTTGTTGTATTTTAAGTGAGTGAGTCCTGAAACAAAGCACAAACATATACATGAAAGCCTAGATGCGAATTCATTCTGAAAGAATATTATTGCTGACATTAATGACGAACTTAATTAATTTCCATAAAAAATGAATTGTAATTATTGATATCATTTAATATTCATATAATTATGGATATTATTTAATATCTATCTCTATTTGATTAAATAATAATTTAATTTTTAGTAAATTTTATTGGTGTATTCTAGCAAATAATAGATTAGGTGTGAGACTCATGTATTACATGAGTTTATTTAAAAGAAAAATTAAATATGAAGTTCTAAACATTTGAAGTCTGAATGTATAAAAAAATAAGAAAATTATTGAATTATTAAAATTAAAGTGTTTTTTCTCTTTTAGATTTAACAAATCCTTTATATCACTAAATAAAGGTAACTAATAAGAGTTTAATTTAGTAATTTTGAAATTAGAAGGGAAATATATTAATGAAAGTTGATATGCATTTATTATTATATTTAAATATTATGTGAAATTTAATAAAATAGAAAAACAATAAAATGACATGTGTAAAGAAATTTTTAAAAATTAAACATATTGCATAATACATTAGAAAAGAACAAATGACAAAATGATTTTGATTTATTAGGGAGTACACCGGAAATACATAAACCTCTTTCGAGATGATAATAAAAGTGGGACTCACCAACATTTCTAAAAAAACACTGCATGCGTGTGTGCTTAATAAAACCCACCTTCCGTCCTTTGTCAATTTCAGTACCGATTCACTAAATAAATAAATAAAACTGCATGTTTTTTTTTTATTATTAGCCGGATTGATTCAAGAAATCGTTTACAAACCCTGTAATATCGAGTCAATCACAGTCACAGTGGGCTACAAGAAATTTAATAAACTAAACCTAATATTTAAAATTGCATGTGGCATAAAAGTAATAAGATTGTTTAACCATAATGATAAAATGTATTGGCGATATGTTTGTTTGGGAAGCAAAATTAATAACTAGGTGGGAACCCCGCAAGGTGGGAACCCCGCAACATGCGACAATTTTTTCCGTTGTGTGTTATTTGTAAATGTTATTTGATCAATTATAATTTTTTTGTTGTGGGTCGTCGGATAAGTTATTTTTCGAAAAATATACTTCATGGGTTTATCGTTTGGTTGATGGGATGGAACTGGACAGCCGGCCACCTTTTGCAATAGTGAATCTGCGTCCTTTTTCGCAGAAATTGTCCCTTATTATCGTTTAGTTGTTGTTTTGGTTTTGTTTTTATACCTGGATTGTATTTGTTTAACTACTTTGAAAATAAATAGTGTAATTAAATACATAAATAATTAAATAAATATGAATATTTTGTGTTATAGCTCTTTTCGTTCTAAGAGAATCGATTATTTATGTTATTAATGTATAGTTTGTTGGGAATTGTGTGATAGGTGTAGTGATGACAACATCGTAAAAATCAACAGAATGGTATAGTATCAATTTACAAAACATAAATGCATGATGGATTGATGGAAAATCAAATAATCAATGCACCATTCGACTTTGTTATCAAACTTTATGGCCTTTAGAAATAGCTTCTCGACTGAAAATCAAATACCATAAACGCAGGAGTAAATGGTTGTAAGCAACGATAATTATATTTATATCTAATATTGTAAATTTTAAATACCATAAACAAAAAGGAGAACAGTGTTCTCCTGTCCATTAACATAATATCTTGGTCCTACACTATTTCCACATGTGTTTTGTTAAAACATTTGCATCTAACTTCAAACTCCCTTTTTTATGCCCTACAAAAAGTTGTGAAAGTGATGCCTTTTTGCCAAGAAAAAACCTGCTTCTTAATTATGTTACCTTCCAATCCGTTTGTCGTAGCTTTCACTTGTTCTCTTACTTCAATGAAAGTTGATGTTGAAGAAGGATACCTAAATCAGACGACTCTTCGTTCATAACTTTGACAGCACTAAACCCGGAAATAAGTAAGAGGATGTCAATATTGAATTTAAAGCAAGAAAAATGTTTTTATTTGCTTCCCAATTCCAATTTTCATATTAGCCCTCACAAGTGTGATTTACTCAAATTTTATGCATCCATGTGTTTAACACAATGTCATATAGCTAAATAATATGCCCAGAGTGTTCAAAACATTCAGAAAGCTTCATGGAGCATTTTTAGCCATTTTCCACTTCGACCCCTTTTTGACATTTTTCTCATTTAGGCATCCTACTTGCCTAAATGTGTTTTATTTAGGTTCTAGAATGAAATTTCATGAATATTTCATACCAAACCTGTTTTGATAATAAAAAAAAAAATACCTAGGTTGTCAAACCTCTTTGAATCATTTACTATATACTCATTTTAACAATCTATTTTCAACAAAGCCTCTAAAAATGACAAGTTGTCAAGTTTATGAAGTTCATAGCAACATATTTGTGTTTTTGCTTTAAATTTCAAGCTTCTAATCATGCATATAATTTTCATTAGTTGCTATTTTACTCAAAGTCAAGGTTTGACCAAAACAGAAAAAGTCAACTGTCACTATTCATCATCTTCAACCTCAAGAAAATGGAATTGATTCATGCATTTATGTTCTTGAACTCAAACTATGATGCATTTCTATAATCTATCATAAATTTCAACATGTATGGCATTATTTCAAATACTATCTCAAGAAAGTACTTAGGGTTCCATGGATTAAACCTTAATATGAAGAAGTTGCTGAAATTGAAATCATTAGGGTTGTTTTATGCTTAATCGACCATTGTAGCCCCATCACCCACCTCTATTGATTGTCTGGTCGACATGGTCACCATCTTCGATAAAAGAACAGAAACAGCACACCAGCGCTTCCTTCCCCTTTCTTCCAACTGTTTCCCTTTCTCGTCTTGTTTCTCTGAATAGATTCTTTTATCTAATATTGTATATACACAATCGATGTGTGTGTGTGCGTCTTGTTTTTGGTTTGAGCACACAAAGAGAACACAAACCTGCTTCTTTTATTTCCTGCATCAGGTAGAACTTATCAAACCCGGTTAGTGTGCAAAAGACCAGATTACCCTTACTTCCTTGACTTGGATAATTTCAGCAAAATTTATGATTTTTTTCTTACCTTTACAGCCTCGTAACTCGGCCATACGAACTCCGATTTGGACAAACTTTATATCGTTGGAAAGCCTGTTAGGAGTAGTACTAAAAGTTCCATGTTATTTGTTTCATCCGAATCTCTCCAGATCTGAGGTTATTCAGCCCTGAACATGGTGGTCAATGAACGTTTCAGCATTTCATGTGTTTGAACAACCAACTTCAAGCAACCATTATCTCATTCATTACAAACCCATTCTGTCCGATTCTTTTTTCTGTGTATTCTTTGCTTTACATACTACAACTTTCCAGAACAATGTTATTTCTAATTTGCCATAGATTTTGACTTATTAAGCTCCAAAGCAAACCTCAGTCTTATCCTAGCTGATTATTACCCACAAAGCAAACCTCAATATCATAGATGAAGATAAATATTAGTCATTTGGCTTCATGTTGAATGGCTTCAGAAACAGAACAATTTCTACAGAATAACAAACAAAAACAAATGGGAGAAGACAAAAAACACTTCCTTTCCAAAAGTGGGAATCATCCGTTGAAATGCTGCAATTATATCTCGTAATTTCTCCATTCTAACCTGCAGAAAACATAGTCTATAAATTACTTAAAACAATCTCTCAGTTCATTCTATTTTTCATATAACTTACCAAATTTTCACAAATACATAAATACTTTATAAGAAATCAATTACCAATATACAAAACTGTTGAAAGAGGATATTTGCTTTTGTATACTTCATCTTTACCTTCAACGAATACTATTAAATCTTTGTATACACCAACCTGAAACATTACCAAAATCCATTAAAAACTTATACAACTCATAAGAACAACTTAAAGCAGCATTTACTCAACTTATCTTTATTATGTTTTCCATAACAATTGTAAAGTTATAGAAAAAAACAGATGAAAGATGGAAAGTTTACCCTCACCACATGCCAATGATGAAGGCAATGTCGATGAACATACTCTGATGTCCCTCTGCAGTTGCAGGGTGCACCAAAATCACGGCCTAAACAATTGCAGAAACAACTCATATATATATATATATATATATATATATATATATATATATATAAGTTTAGCAAGGAAGTTATTACAACTTTTAATCATAGTCAATAAAAATAAAAATTGTAATAATAGGCCCATAAAATAATTACTGAAAATAATCCATGTTGACATAAGATGAAGTGTTATAACCCAAAAATATAAAATAAGAAAATTTAATTTAAAATCCAAATCAGCAATAAATAGATCAATCTTACCTCCTTCAGTCGCTAGCTTAGGACTTAGGTTACTATGTTGTTGACATTCTTGCCCCACTTACACACAACCCGTCACTCCCATGGCAGTTTTGAGATGGCAAAACCCCTAATCCAGCCGACACAGATTTCATATGTGTAAGAATTAATAGCCATGTCAGCAAACCGAACCACATATTGAGACAAAATTAGAATCTATGTTTGTTTATTTCTTATATAATAGTATAACCTATCCCGATGTCATTCACTAATGGACATTTTTCATTTTCACCCTTTAAACACTAACGCAAAAAGCTGAGCGAATTGAATATATATAATATGTGAAAACAAATTCTTCATTGGTGTTTGGTTTCAAAAGTTGATACAAATGGAAACGAAACAAATAAAAATCATTTGAATCATATGGAAGCCTTCAATGATAGTTCATAACAGCTTCAGGAAGATAAAAAGCACACATTTGTAAATATAAATGCATTTTATTGAAATGGGTGGTTATCAAATGCATTTTGCAATCGCCTTGCAATCTATTTTCCAAAAGTACTTACAAAAGACCATAAATTTAAACTAACTTGCTTTAAAATAAAAACAGAAATTGGAAATCAACCTTTAAACAAAAAATCTCATTCTATGGATTTACCTACTGTGCCAGACTCCCAATTACAAATTTAGTGGGAGTAACCAACAAAACATTGAGATGAGCTGATTGATGAAATTCACATGGTCATTACATATAATACATGCTGGGCAGAAGGTACATAAAGGAAAATTTAGCTAAGTGATTTACCTGTCTACTCGAAATATCTCCCTCTCAATCGATCTCCTCTATTCTTCAATTTCATATGTCGGTGGCTGGACATAAAAGATGTACACCCTGTGTGGCAGAAGTCGAGATAATAGTCAGTTTCGAGACAAATTTGACAGTAAATTGGCACCCTGTGTGGAACAAAACCTCCAAATCAAACAAAAAATGCTAAAAAATACCATTAAATATTAGCTTCATATACGTCGGTCAGACTACGAACATAAACCCTAGAAAAAAATGAACGAATATAAAACCTGGTTATAAACATCGAAATTCGAGAAATCGAGTAGCAGCTCCTAACCGACACAGCAGATAATCGAAATCGCCAACAACCATCAACCCATGATTCCTCAATCTTGACAAAAGAAACGGAAAAAGCATCGAAATCTATGAAACCTTCGTGAATTAAAGCGGGAATTTAAATCCATGAACCCCCAAAATTGAAATCAATAGACTACCGACGGTGATGGGAAGAAAGGTGATATTATGAGTCATCCATACCGACCGCCTTCGTCGCCGGTGTTGGAGACTTTGGGGAACACGGAAGTGACGAAAAAAAAAGACAAAAAAAAAAAGAGTTGATCAAAATCAACGATTGAGATTATCGACTGATATTGGCAACCGGTTTGAAGCATGGGATGAACTACTAACCTCTTATGAAGAACCGAAGTCACCTGAATCGAGTTGGTAGAGACAATCAGCCAACGGTGTTCACTCGCTAGACGATGACGGTTACCAACCACAACCGACGCCGTTGGCACTTGTCATAGAGGAATCGAGAACTCAGAACAACTGTGAGTTCGATTTGTGGCATTCGATTTGGATGTGTTTGTTTCCAAACGATGATCAACACGTGTAGGGACCAAATTGTCAATACCACAACAAAAGAGGCAGAGTTGGTGGTGGGCAATCGCCTATAGGGCGGTGGTGGAGAGACCCTTTTTGGGTTTATTGAGACGAAGAATCTAGAGCTCAGGTAAAATCAGAGATAACAAAAAAGAAGGAAAATATCTACGGAGGGACTAAACTGTAATTCACATTGACACACAAAGCAATATAGAGGGACCGGAAATGTAATTCAAGCGAAGAAACATGGACAAAAGGAGCAATGTTTACTGTTCTTTTGTTCCACAATTTTAATATATATATAATAATGATCTAATTCAAGCGACCAAACATGGACAAAAGGAGCGATGTTTACTGTTCTTTTGTTTCACAATTTTAATATATATATAATAATTATGTAATCCAACAAAATCAATCTAAAAATATCAATGATTTAAAAATTGGTTTTTTAGTTGAACCGGTATGTTATTAGTTTATGATTTAATCGATTTGATCGACGGATCGTTTTCGTCATTTTTTTTCTTTTTCCTTCATATACATACATATATTAAAACAAGCAACCACAACCATTGTATAAATATTAAAGTGTTTACATTATATTTGATTCATAAAAGATTGACTCCAAAAGTAAATAACAAAACAAAGACATGAAGCTACTATGCTCCATCTTCTGAATCCCTATGCGTGTACCTGTCTACTAGTTTCTTGAGAATACAAATTATTTTGAAAGAGTAGATAAACATTTAAGCTGGTGAGTTCATAAGCATTTTTGTTATAAAAAGTGTACTCTAAGTTCTTTTTGGAAAAGTTCGTCAGTTCCTCCAGAAAATCCTATATTTTCTGATGTGATAAAATGATAAGTAAAAATGACTCTACAATTTCTTCTATGAGTACTAAATGGATACAAGTTATATACAATCTAGAGTAAACAGGCAATCGATTGTGTGAATCTGCCCTAAGCCCACAACCAAACAAGGAACATGAAATGAGGCGGAAGTCACACATCCCATTGTTTGTTAGATCTTCATTGTATATAACTCTGGCGTATTCATTTGGTACTTACAGAGTTAACTGTAATAGTTCTTTTTATATTTGATGAAAATATTCCCTTAAGAAAATCATATATTTTCTTTAGTAAAATGGTAACCATAATAGTTCCTTCTATAATCACTTAGTTTATACTAGTTATATATAATTTAATATCGAACGGACAGTTAAATGTGTTAATCTGCCCTAAGCCCACAACAAACAAGGAACAGGAATGAGGCGGAAGTCAACATTCCACTGCCTATCGGATATTAATTATATATAACTCTGATGTATAAACCAATGTATTATAGAATTAACCATTTAAGGTCCTTTATGTTATACTAGTTTAATAAGAAGTATTAAACCCTTTTATAAATAAGTTTATAGTTTCACTAACTCAATTGTGAAACATTGTTTTCGGTAACAAGTGTTATTGTTTTCAGAAAGGTCTATTGAAAACTGTTTATCTTAAAAGAATGATGTTTACCATAGAAAATCCTATATTTTCTATAAAACCGACTGGTTGTCTATGTTGTTCCAAGATTTAAAAGCATAAGTATAATCAATATACCTACTTTAATGATATCTAGTTTAGTTGGTAAGTTAATACTGAATAAAGACTTGGTTGTTCTGGAGAAACTGATGTGACGATACTACCCTCCTATGATCACTTAATACATACGAGTTGTATATAACCGAAATCGAACATACAGTTGAATGGGTGAATCTTCCCCAAGTCCACAACCAAACAAGGAACAGGAAATGAGGCGGAAGTCACACATTCCACTGTCTATCGGATTTCAGTTTTATCAACCTATGGTAATAACTGAGTAATCACATAGTTATTATCCCTTGAGATTGTTCATGAAAAGTATATTACTACGTAAATATATCATTGTTATCTATTGTGAGTTTTACGACCATACTAATTTGACTAGTGTAAAACACGACGTATTGTAGACGTCGAAAAATAGTGACATTTGTCACCCGCAGACCTGTCGGTCCGGCTGTAGCTAACAGCGAGGTGCGGGATTGTCAATCCCGTATAGATCTATACACAAACTCATGCTTTCCTCCCAGGACACTCTGGTCATAAGGTTAGGCTTCTGTTGGTACTTATATGAGTACTCGAAGATGTGTCTCACAAGCTAGATTAACGACTTTACAAGTAATAGTGTGGAAAACCCTTTTTATAATTAATAGATAAGTTTATAAAAAGATCCTTTTGTTCCTTAAACTAAACTTATTAAAGTTTATAAGTTTATTTGTATGTTCTGTTCAAAGTTTCATGTTCTAAATACAGTTAATTGGTACAAAGACATAAGAAGCAATTTATATTTTAAAACACAACATTTCTTGTGTTATACTTGTATTCTCCCCCCTAAAACATTTAAAAAGTTGGAAAAAGACATGGGGGTATGAACTCACCTTATGTAGGTGATTCAATTGAAGATTCGATATAGAATGATAAGTTCCACGAGTGAAGTCCCGAACACAAATGAGTCCTAAATAGCATGAAATGATACATATAGGCATGAAATTAGTGAATCTAACTACAAAGGTGATTAGGAAACAACCTATGATGCAAGAATAACTCACCAAAGGAGTGATAGAAGCAAGTTGGAAGGCTGAAAGGGAGTTCACGGCCGTATGGGGTGCTTCACGGCCCAAGAACACATGAGTGTTCACGGCCCAAGTTGAAGGGTTACGACCTTGAGGAAGGGTTCACGGCCCTATGAGTTTTTCACGGCCCAAGAAACTTGAAGAAACTTGAACTTTGGTTTTGGTTGTTTAAGCAAGTGGTTGAAGGCCCTTTGTTGTATTGTAAGGAGATACAAAAGAAAAGGGATGTTTAAGGGAAGAAAAGAGTGTTCTTGAGGATGATACTTGAGAGAGAATGGAAGAGATCACGGCTAGAAGAAGGATAATGAATGAAAAATGAAGCAAACTCTTATATAAAGCCTAGTTCACGGCCTCCTAAGAAGGGTTCACGGCGTGTGAACATGGTTTACGACCGTGAACCTCACTTGATGAGGTTTATGGCCCGAATGCAATACTCTTAACTCGTTTCCTTAGTGGTTCACTTCTTAACACGCAACCCTTACACATACTCGGTCTAGAAACCTATAAGTTTGACCTTAAGGAGTGTGTTGTTTGACCTCACAAAGAGAAATTTTCGGGGTTGTGACAGTTTGGCCGTATTTTTCAAATTTTGACCAATAGAAACATTGCATCTGCTTCTCGATCTTGCTTCAATGAAAACACATACCATTAAAAACATCAGTTTCATATCATCATCAAAAACCATTTTGTTAACATCCGCTTTTCAGATATGCTTCTTTTGAGTTAAAATCTTTTAAATCTATATTTTTAGGGTTTTGGCTTGGTCACGACGTGGTGATGGAGGAATAAAAACTTGGCATCTTCAATTGAGGAACGCTTATTAACGAGGCACCACGACGTGGCAAGGTCTTGGCTATGACGTGGTGGCGACCGGGGTTCAAAACCCTAGATTTTGGGATTGATGTCCTATTTAAAGGCACTAACTATAACGTCCCAAAAATCCAGAACCAAAAATTTTGTTTTAATATTAAATAAACACCAACCAATCGTGGTAGTCAAACCCATAAGAAAGTCATAGTGTATCAATAATCATCCAAAATACATCACAGTCAATAAAGCGGAAAAATCATGGTGTATGTGTGATGCGATCATCCCGAGCTCTTCCCCTTCACATTGGAAGTACCTGAAACATAAACTGAAACCGTAAGCACAAAGCTTAGTGAGTTCCCCAAAATACCACATACCATACATAAAATGGGCCCCGCCCACCATCGGGCCCCGCCCGATATACATACAAACACATATAATACATGCAAGAGTCATAAAGACAACTAGCATATTATAACATAATCAAATGGGACGACATTGGTGCCTTTGACCCGGAAGTACTATGAGAAGACACACTTCGATAAAAAATATCAAATCTCAAACCCGAGTCTGCTGCACAACGACTCCTCACACTTAAAAACAATCAATTACAACCCTAGTACTATCTAAGGTTAGCCCATAATCATAAGCCCAATAATGACCCAAAACCAAACTAGGCCCACTAATGGGCCAAAGCCAACTAGAGAACCCTAAGGCCTAATATAGGCCCAAAAGTTCCAAAATGGCCTAAAGCCAACGGTCCAAGCTTCAACAGCCGAACATCACGTCGTGACCATATCAACTTGCCCAGTCGCCATTCCAATCATCGTCACGTCGTGGCCACTCCCGGATCATGTCGTGACCTAAACCGAACAAAACAGTCGCGAATGGCATGTATTCTCATGACATGGCAGGCTCATCCTCACGTCGTGAGCGCTGCCTTGGCCATCTTTGAGCATTAAGCTCTTATTCTTAAGCAATCACTTGGGGACTTTCTGAGGGTCTTCCCTCACGCAAAGGATAATAAAAATCATAGCTTTTTAGTCATGCTGTCCAATGCATGGTACTTAAACACTCACTACGTCAACAGAGGGAAAAATGAGATCAAGACTCATGCTTGGAGTCTAAAACTAACTTCAAAACTCAGATCCCAAGCTTATAATACAGAAGTTGTCTCAATGAACGATTAAAGTTGCCACTGTATGGATCCCATGCATGTTATCCAACTCAACCATGCAAAAGGAGCTTAAAAACCTAGATCTAGCATGCATGAGGTAAAAAGGCCAGAGCTTTACGACTTCAAAAGGTCCTAAATCTCTGCAGGAAGGTGAGGTAGAAGCTGGATTGCCAAGACAATGCTACACAAAGTCTTCTTCCACTCAGTGAGCAAAAAGTTATCAAATAAGTTCTTCAAGGTCAACAAAAATGGCTAAGGCCCTCAAGCAGGTCGAGATTAGGGTTTTTTAGGAAACTAGAGAGTGAGGGTAGGTTGAGGATGGGCAACTCTAGCCTCCATGCATTAACATTTTCTCAAGCATTAGGGGTTGGAATCATCAGGCCATTCTCACGTCGTGAGGCTTCCATACTCACGTTGTGAGATTCGAAAATGCAGGTCAAAAAGTCAATGGTCACTCACAATGTGACCACCATATCTCACGTCGT